AGCCGATTGCAAACTGAAATAAAAACTCAGCTTGACATATCATCCACAGACAAATGGACAAACTAAGGTGGTTAATCACACACTGGTTAATATGCTCAGTTGTTTAGTTCAAAATAGACCAAAATAATGGGACGTGATGCTCGAGCAAGTTGAGTTTGCCTTTAATTCTATGACAAATCACTCAACTGGCTGTTGCCCATTCAGCTTTATTTACAAAAAGCTAACGAATCAACTTATAGATATTACAGTTCTGCCAAAATGACGTAATATACCAGCTACTTAATTTATAGATCAACATTGTTCCATTATACAAGAAGTGAAGGCTAAACTTATGGAATCTAATGCTCAATATAACCAGGAAACATACATTCGCAAACGCAAGCAAATTTTCGAATTTGGAGACTTTGTTATGGTTCAGCTCCATAAGGAGCACTTCCCAAGTGGGGAATATTCAAAACTCAGTCCATGCAAGATCAAACCAGTTTGCATTACCAAACGTAAAAATGATAATGCTTATGTAGTCGAATTACCACTACACATTCACACATTATCCACCTTCAATGTAGCTGGCATTCATGCTTACCAACCGCTCGATGAACTGAATACAATCAATAGTAGTACTGTGACTTCTTCGATAGCATGGGAGACCACTTGATGTGTTAGCTGCACCAAAGAGTATCACTGTACATGCAATCAAGAACAATGAAGCAAAAAAGCAAACGAAACAGGAATTTTGAGAATTGAGAATATATTATCTTTTGTTCTTTATGTGTGTTTGTGTGTGTGTGTTAGGCCTTTTCCTCTTTCTAAGTTTACTCCATTCAAGTAAAAAGCTAGCATATACAATTTTAGCAAAAGGATAAAAGCAATTACTAGGTACTTAAAACAAGGATAAAAAATAAGTTGTGGAGTGTGGTATGCGATTTTTGAGTCCGATTCATAGAGATGCGCTACATCACTTAACTTAGATGTGCTACAATTACAAAATTTTGGAGAGTCAGTCGGATTACATATAGATATTTGGGAGCTTGTAATGATCGCATTCTGGCGAACGTTTGACAGTAGTCAACAACTAGGCAGTGGTTTAATTACGGTCAGGCAAAAGTCTGACTGCGACCATGCTAAAATCCGACAACGATCAGGACGGAAGCCTGACCTTTTGATTGGCGACTGGGCAGTGGTCCTATGGCGATTGGGCATAAATCCATACGGGGGTCGGTGACCTGGGGTTGTGTGGCATTTGCTAGGTGGAAGTCTGGCGGTGTTTTGTAGTCGGGTCATGCGTTCGTCCAGTGCCGATGCTTTGGTGGATCTCTAAATCCTTGAAGCCTCATAACTCTTTCCAATCTCCAGCCAAATATCCCCCTCATGTAGAGATTATGGATATATTTATATATTTTTATGAGCGGCATGCTCTGTAAATATGGAAAATAGCAATAATAGGTATAGAGTGCTCCATCGGACAACCAATATTGATTCCCTTGATCATAAAAAGTTTTTTAAGCATTTAGTGCCTTAATGATGTCAAAATGAAGCTATCTTCTGCTTGTTGGATTCATCTTGTCGAGTCGCTCAATTTGACTAAAAGCATGTCACATATGAAGATCATTTGGTTATCCAATTATTGTTTTAAACAATTTAAATATGCTTTGATGTCTTTGTTTAGACTCATTTGGGCTCGGATAAGACCAATTTCGGTGTTCATTGGGTTCATCTCCTCTATATGTTCAATTAACAATATATTTTTTAAATCAGAGTTTGGATTATTCCAAATTTAATTTTAAAAGTTTTCAAATTGGATATACCTCAAGATTCGTGAATATATATATACACGTGTCACTAACTTTTTTTTCATCGGGCATGAATCTTGAGGCATGTCTTAATTAGAAACTTTTAAAATTAATTTTGGAATCATCCAAATTCTAATCTTTGCAAACTTACAGTGAAACTAAATGTCTTTGCTAGACAAACTTAACGACATAAAAGTTGATCCAATCAAAGCCCAAATGGGCCCAAAGCAATGACCTAAAGCATATTTGAATGCTTCAAGACACTATCTGGATGTTCAAATGATATCTAAATATGATATTCTTATAATCGAATCGAGCAACTTGATAAGACAAAACTAATAAGCCCAAGATTATTTTATTATGGCATCATTAAGGCATTTAAATATTGAATGAACATTCTATGATCGAGATGATCAATATGGGGCATCCAATAGAGCACTCTGAAATTGCTATAATCTTCTACATATTTACATAGCCTATCACTTCCAAAAATCTATAAATAGGCTCCCACTTCGCACATGAAAGGGGGCCTTTCGAGGCTTAGAAATTGGGATAGAGATATAAGAGAACTCTACAGCATGAATACCTAAGCACCAACCCCGACAAACCCTTGCCTCCAAGCCATCAATGTCAGACTTTCACCAGCCGACCGTCGTGAGACGCCTACCTTATCGTTGTCGGACCTCAACCGACCGTCGTTGTTGAACCTCTACTCGACCATCATTGTTGGACCTCTGTCAAACCACCACTGATGGGTTTCTGCCTGTCCTCCATCGTCCACTGATTATGGTCCTACTAGCAATTATTTCCCAACTATGATCCTTCGACCTCAATCATCCGACTGCAATCCTTCTAAGCTCCGTCACCTGTCAAATATAGTCCTTTCAACCTCCATCGCTAGTCAATTATAGTCCCTCTGACCACCATCACGCGACTACCGTCCTTTGACCACAATTGCTCGATTATGGTCCTTGTGATCTTCATCATCTGCTAAGTACTATCCTTTCAACCAATGTTCACAGACTATGGTCTTGGAGACCTCGGGGTCTCTTGTTGACTTTAGTCTATTTGACCTCAATCACTAGCCTATGGTCCAACCAACTCCGTCACTCGCCCACCAAGATCCTTCAAACCTATATCGCCTAACTACAATCCTAGGACCATCATTACCTAACCACGATCTTTTCGACCTCCATCACTCGCCGATACGATCCTTAGACTTTCATCGCTTGACTACAGTCCTCAAACCAATGTCCCCGGACTAGGTTCTTCCAACACTCGTCGCCCGCCAACTATGATTCTTCAAGCACCATTGCCATAATATAGTCCCTTTGACTTGGTCTCCCAACAACAGTCCTTTCGACTACAGTTCCACCGATCTCTTTTTGACTACTTTCCTTTAATCATCGTCGCTTGACTAAGGCCCTTATTACCTTCGTCGCCTGACTACGATCCTTTCGACCGCATTCGCCAACTAACCACACTTTTTTTGACCACTATCATATGACAACAATCCCTCTAACATGCATCGCACATCGACTATGATCCTTCTAACCTCCATCACCAGCCTCCTTTTATCCCTTTATTACTCGCAGACCATGGTTCCTTGGACTTTAGTCACAAGACTAAAGTCCCTAACCTTTGTCACCCAACTATGGCTCCTTCGACCCCAGTTGTTAAACTATGATCCATCTGACCTTCATCGTCTGACTATGATATTACCGATTAAACTAACAAGCCAACATTCTCTTGAGAACAACTCTTATGTCTTTTGATTCCTTTAACCCCAACCCGGTAATGTGTTCTATACAATATATTTTTGCTACATTGAGCCAATGACTTCCCCCGAAAAAAAAGGTATCATTTGTAATTAATGACAAAAACAAGTGGAATTCTTTTAATTGGACCAGACCCCATAGCTTTTCCCTCTCTTGAATTTTCCATGTAAAAAATCTGGCGCCTCTTATAATTGTTGCACACTTTTCTCACATATATGTGTGTGTATGAGATCTTCATACAAAATTATAATGTTAAACTCTATTTATCTACCATCATGAAAGTTCATATATATATATATATACAAAAAATATTGCTATAAAGAAAATTAATTATATAAAATTTTTCTAAGGCTTCTTTTGTCAAATTATAGATTTTAATTTTATTTATATAGTTTAATATTTATATGTAATTTAAAACAAATTAATGTAAAAATATAATAATTTAATAGAAATTACACACTTCAAGTAATAAAATAAATTGAAGATATTAAAATAGCAAACTTATTATAAGAGAAAATTAAATAAAAATATCAAACTAAAATTTGATTATGTTGAATTTTAAAATTTTAATAGTAACTTTGAGATTTGTATCACATTCATCTTAAAATAAATATAAAAATTGTAAAAGTCATCATAACCATGTTTTGTTTAATATATTTTCAATTAATTTTTTCCTAAAAATTTTGTTTATTAAAGAGTTGAAAATAAGAAAAATAAAAATAAATGTATGATCACTTTCTATATGAGGATGCCGTATTGTTGTTATGTATGCAAAAAAATTGACAGGATATTTTTATTAAATTAATGGTCATAATAAATTGCAAAGTTGTTAGATTTTTTTTTTTTTAAGAAAAGTGTAATATAAATTTGTTTTGATCCATCATACTTTGCACTTATATTTAAAAAAATTTAAAAATTCATTTCTGATCAAATTATATGTATTAATTCTTTGGCGGGTGAGAATTAATAAAAAAGTTTTTCATTTCATTCAAAACCCTTAAAAATAAAAAATTCTAAATTATCCCTTGTTTCATTAAAACAAAAAAGAAAGAAAGAAAATAAAATAAGGCTATAACCAACTATGTCTTGCTAAACTAAAAATGGTTTGCAAAAAAAAAATGTTTGGTTTAAAGGGTATTCCATTAAATATATCATATTGAAAAAATAATAATAATAATTCGTGGCTTGAAAGTCAAAGGTCCTCTTTGTATAGAGGCACAAATTTTAGGTGGACACCACTTATGTGCTTTGCAACAATTTTATGAACTCTCATAATCACTTATTTTTTTATTGTTTATATATTTTTTTTGAGACATTTAGAACAATTAAGACAAACCATCATATATATCACATACGTAATACTCAAAATCAAAACATTTTGGTTGATAGTCAAATCTACGAACCAACACTTCAGAATGAGTAGTGTGAATGTGGAAATCTAAGGCTTCATCTGGAACAACTTTCTTGCTGCTTCTTAAATCAACTTTTTAGTGCAAAAATTTTAATTTTTATACTAAAAAACTGTGTGAATCAGGTACAACCACGTCATCCAGTACTGAGCTCGGTACCAAGCAGTATCGAGCCGCAGTACTGAGTAGGGGTTGATATGATGCATTTTCATTAGGCTCTGGACTGCGTTCAGTGTCCGCACAAAATAATTTGCCCTTGAGTTGAGTCCAATTTTTTTATTTAAATAATACACTTATTTTTGCATAAATGTGATGATATGAGGGATGATTATTTCTCATTTTAATTTAAATTTTATTATCAATAAAATGCTGGTGGAAGCACTCAAACCTCTGAGAACAAACACAAGCGCAATCCCGAGTCTTCAACATCGTTGATCAATCAGCAAAATGTCCCGGCGGTCTCATTCCCACTCGCCGGCGGGATCCGAAAATGCCATAGCCGCCCGCTTCCCCCGACCAAATACTTTTTACACAGAAACTCCATCGCAAACTTCTTCTCCACTTTCCGATCCACATCGTGCAAAAACACATCGGTAAAACCCTCCCCCTTCCGCTCCCTCGCCATCACCGCCGCTGAGTAAATCGCCCCCATCCTCCCCGGCGCCTCCGCAAAATACCCTTTTGGCGCGTCAATCATAATCAAATCCCACTCCATCTCATAAACCTCGCCGGGCAGATCCGCCAGCGCGAGCCGGCACCGACGATTATCCCTCAGCCTCGCTTTTGGGGGCATGCATTCCGGCTCCTTGCGATACGATTTCATTAATTCATTGGCCTCCGAGAGCTTCGTCGGGTATCGGACGTTATGGGCGTGGAGGGAAGGGGATTTGCGGAGGACGGATTGAAACCAAGAGGGGTCTTCTTCGAGGAAGAGGGTGGTTCCGCCGGAGTTGAAAGCGGACCACATGGGGGAATCGTGTCCGAGGCCGAAGACGAGGAAGTTGCAGGGGGAGCGGCGGCGGAGGACGTCGAAGGAGACGCGGATCTCGGAGAGGGTTTGCTGCGGAACGATTGGGGAGGTGGCGTAATGGAGGAGGGCGGAGCGAAGTTCGTCGGAGGAGGGTTGCTGGAGGACGGGTATGAATCTGAGAGGGCTACTGGTTTGGCGCAGGAACAGCGGGTTTAGAGCTCTGTTACAAGAGTGTTAGACTGAGCTGACTAATTTAAGTTCAGCATTAAGCTTCGAAGAAATCATCAAATTTGTCATAACTTTCCCCAAAAAAAAATCATCATATTAAATTAAATTATTTATTATTTATAATAAATAAAAATAAGACTAATAGCGATTGAGAACAAATTTTAAGAGGAAGCACCGCTAAAGTTTAAATTAGGTAAAGAAGCATAATTTTATATAATTTTAAAAAGAGACAAACTAGCCTAACAGTTTGGCTAATTCAATTAGTCAAAATGTTTGATTAATTATAAAAATGTTAAAATATTTGACACATTACAAAAAAAATGCAAAAAACAAAATTGTTTAACTAGTTTGCCTCTTTTAAATTTTTTTTAAAATCATGCTCCTTCATATCATTTAAATTTTGGCCATGTTTATCATGAAAAAATCCGATTTTGCCGAAAATTTTAGCTAATCAGCTCCTTTTTAAATTTTATATTAATCACTCATCGTAATTTACTATTAACGTACACTCCATTTTAAAAAAATTCCAAGTAATTTATCTACTTTTTTTGCATACACGTCTAAAAATTTTAATATTTGCTTTATATTTACTATATTAACTTACATCAAAATATATGTATTAAAAAATATTTTCTTTTTAAAATAAATTTATGTTGGTCATATTTTCATGTAATTTAAATTCTAAAATCTTCTATAAACAAATGTATAAAAATTTACATATACTACATATGCAAATAGATACAAATTTTTTGATATTGTTATATAAATTAGGAGTGTCAATATTTGACACGACCCGAAAAACTGACTCGAACCCGACCTGAAAATTTCGGGTTCGGGTCAACCCGAACTTGAAACGGGTCGGGTTCGGGTTCAACATTTTGACACGTTTCAAAAATCAGGTCGGGTTCGTGTTAACCCTTTGACCCGATTTTGACCCGAAAACACGATTTTGACCCGGCAACCCGAGATTGACCTATTTTTGACCCAAAAAAGAGGAGATAGACCCGTTTTTTGACCCAAAAACTAGTAATTTTTTGTTGGAAACGGGTCATTCGAGTCGTGTCGGGTTGACCCGGACCCGAAGCGGGGTTCGGGTTAGGAAAACTGACCTGTTTTAAAAAACGGGCGGGTTCGGGTTGACCTGAATAGTGCAGGGTCAGTTTCGGGTTCGACCCGAACCCGACTCGTGACCCAAAATTGACACCCCTAATATAAATCTATACATATATAGGGAAATGTAGAAAATTAAAAAACCTTTTAGGTGGCCAATTAATTTTATTATAATTATTATTATTTTACATTTTCAGTGGTTATCCAAACAAAACAAAGCAAATTTTATCTTGGAGAGGGCAGACTATCATTTTAGATATCATAAATGATAAAATATTTATATATTATTTTGAAATGTAGAGATTTAAAGTGTATTAACTTTATTTTTTATTCTCAACATCTAATTTTTATAATTGAAAATCATTTATTTATTTAAAATATGAACGAATTATACAAAGTTGTGGGATAATAAGAGCTTCTATATTATTAAATTTCTAATAATTTAATATTGATTAGGATAATAATAGCATAAACAGTATTCACTTAGAATAAATTTTCATTAAATAAAGAGTGCTAATTATTTACTTAGAGTTGGTAGAAAATATTCATATAGAACGTTAAATAAAATCAAAATTATGAAGATTAATTTCAATTGGGACATTTTTTATTAATTTTGAAATAATTTTCTAGTATAAAAATTTATAGTTTTAAAAAAATTATACTTAAAAACTGTTTTAAAAAATAGTAAGAAAATGGTCCCAAATGATTGGAGAAATTATTCCGCGGTCACAACAAATGCTCTCCGGAGACCAACCAGAATGAGTCACGTCGGTACCGCGGCTCGGTACTGCTTGGTACCGCTCAGTACTACGGCTTGGTACCACTCAATACTGTGCTTGGTATTGCTGACATGGCTCATTTTGATTGATCTCCAGATATAGAGCTACGTTCGTCATCCACACAGAATAATTTCTCCAAATGAAATCTAAAATTTCATTTGAAACAATTTTCTTCCTGGTATTTATATCAGCTTTCTATCACAAATTTTTTAAAACCCGCAAAAAAAAATCATCAACCAAAAGAAAAATTATTAGGTGCAGAGAGCGCACCATCCGCACAAACATTGGATTTCTAGCGGTACCGAGCACCCGCTAATGCTTGTGGCGGACGGTTCTCCCCGTCCGTACTCCGCACCTAATAATCTCTCCAACCAAAAGCTGTCCCAAAAGACACCTAAAGAGTTAGTTGGCCCCTTACATATTTCCGGCGAAGCTTTGCAGTATGAGATCGGATAATAGGAATGCCCCAAGCAGCAGAAGTGCCATTAGAACGGCTAAGATCCACCGCGTCACCGGCAGCTTCACCATGGCTCTCTCTCTCTCTCTCTCTCTCCTTGTCTCTAGATCTCTCTTCTGTACTGGGCGTATACTTTGCAGTTCGTGGAGCCTTCAAAATAAATAAAGGGAAGGCGGGACTTGGCAAGTAGAACTAATTCCAACTTCCAATTAACTACTGTAAAAGCCCAGTCAAAATGATAAATGATTAATTAAGAAAAAAATATTGCGACTTAAACTATATATCTGATATTTATGAATTATATTAATCCGAACGTAACATAAATTTAATGATCAGGGGAGGAACTAGTCCTAATTTCAGGGGAGGGGGCAAACTTATACGACATATGTATCAGGGGTCCGAGGGGGCAGTACTGCCCTCTGACGGGATTCGACCTTTACTATTTTTGGAACAAAGTTTGGTTTGAAGGATATTTTTGGAATTCAATGATGAATTCTCTTTATAATTTGTTGGGAGAATTGGCTAAAAACTCTTGTAATAAAGATAAAAATTTGAACGAAGAGAAATAAATTAATTATAATATCATATAAATAATTATGTTTAAAAATTTTTTGAGGGGAGGCAATTGCCCCCATGATCCCAATGGGGTTCCGCCCACGGTAATGAAAGTTGATTCGTATGAAGAATTTGACATTAGTTTTCCTTTATTTTAAGCTTATAAATGAAAAAAGATTATATCATAACATAATAACGTAAAATGCATCGAGGTGTACTTAAAAAATTTCTAAAATATAAAAAAATAATAAATAAAAGTTTTTGTGTTTATAAAATTAAAATTAAGATAGATGGTTTTTTTATATATATACAATAGAATTTGAAGGATATTTTAGGGTATTAATATTAGGATAAATACATCAAATTTGAAGTGAATTTTAGTACAAATCACATCGATAAGTTTGAAGTGAGCCTTTCTTAAAAAAAAAATTCTGTGCGGATGCCGAACGTCATAAATAGACCAATAAAAATGTGTAAAGTCAACCTTTTACTGTATTGTGACTCGGTACTGCTCAGTACCGCCGCTCAGTACCGTTCGATACCGCTCTATACCGCTCGGTAGTACTCAATACCACTCTATACCGCTTGATATCGTGACATCCGGATGTATCCGACATCCGAACAGAATAATTTCTCTCTCTGTCCTTTCCAAGATTGCAAAGGACAAGTGTTAGAACTACATGGAAGGAGAGAAAAATAAAAAAAAATGATATTTCAAGATATAAGGAAATCAGAGAGGATATTGAAGAGTTTGATGATAGCTTTGAAGAACTTCATAAATGCCTGTGAAAGCATATATATATATATATAGCCTCATATGTATCTCCATGCAACCTCAATAATGACATCATGATATAGTATTTATAGTGACTTGCACGTTGACTAGCTAAGGATAATAATGATGACTATTTAGCAAGGCTAGATTGGCAATGATAAGTAATTTAGGTGAGCATTAGTAGCAAACTAATAAGCAGCTTGGCAATAGATGAAGCTTTGGAATTTAAGATTTTATGGCTAAACTATCATACAAAAGGCAGTGGCTAATGAGAGTGATCCTAAGATAGTAACTTGATTGGCTTGTTAGGGATTAGTTAAATATATATAATAGAACTTGAAAAGTGGTAATTCATGCATGCCATCACAACATGCATGCTCAAAGAGCATGGATGAGCTTAGGGTGCTAATAACTTGAACTAAGCAACTAATGAAACATGCTATAATTTCTTAAACATGATAATTGATTAACTTAAAGGCATGTTTGATTTTGGTGGGATTTTTCATTCTTGAATAAGATGTCGGAGGCTTGCTTGAGAAGGTATTGAGCTCCATGTATTTGATTGAAATGAAACATGATCTTAATGAATGAGATATTTTCTCTGGAGAGAGTCCCAAGAGGCAAATGCTTATGGTCAATCCTAGAGGAACACTCAAGAATGTATTTGATAAACCCATTGTCAGAAAGCATTACATAGTCAAATAATTATGATCAAAGCCCATAACAATTAATGTTAGATCCATATAAAGTGCTAAGTTTACATCAAGGTTGTAAGGGGTATTTTAAAAATTACACTAATTTCTATTTATTTCAAAGCACTATAAGTGGCATGCACATGATTTTGATGTGAACACTTTGATTCCTGAAATATGATAAGTGCTCCTTCATTATTAATTGTGAGCACCATGCATGAAGAGATCATGGACTATCATAACAAGAGACTCTTAACAAGTGAGTGAAAGAGCCAATATATAGTACTGGTGCGTCAATGGTGGATATATTGTGGTTAGCTCCTACTATGCTAGATGCAATCAGGGAGAAAAAGCATCAAAACGGTGGAGGTGGTAGAGAAGGAAACAACAATGGAAGTTGTAGAAACTTCTAAGGAGCAGTAAGAGACTAGAAGACTATTAAATTTTGATTTGGTTATTTATTTGCATGAGTAGATAAGGCCAAGATAAGCTTTTTGCTTTAAAAAAACTACCATTTTTATTCTAAATTTTAATTTTTTTTTGCTTCAAGATCTATCACTACAAAATATCTTATGAGCCTTTATAGATGATAGATCAAAGATAATAATACGATAAATATTTTTAAGAGAAGGAATAAGCAAGTAAAAATCATCTAAGAAAACTTCTTATAATAGATTAGCACCTTATTGGTGCACTTATATAAATGAATAAATATTATTTAAAATGAGCACATTGCTCATTGATGATGACAAAGTCCAATATAAATAAAAAAATAGCAAATAATGCAATATTTTCAAATAAATTTAAAAGTGATTAATACTCAGTACTTATTCAGCCCAATTGTTTATCTTTTTTTAGCTTTAAATTATTTTAGGATTTGAGTGAATTTAATCATAAATTAATACTTATAGATAACCTCTTGATTAAGCTCTTAACCAATAGGCTATATAAATATAAATGACTATTCACTCTATAATCAACAAAATAAACTCCCACTTGCTATTTATAAGCATGTCATGCAATCAAATAAACTTAAAATAATAAATGAAAGAATGTGTCAATAGGCATGCCATCTTTGATTTCCATAAAACCTTTCCATAAATTATGACACATGGCACTAATCACATATTTTTGAATAAAAAAACTAATCATCTTCGTACCATTTCTATGGCACGCGGATCTCCATTATTTGTTAAATATTTTATGTCAAAATAAAAAACATTAGGCATAAACTGAAATTTTTTTGAATAAAATATCAACAAAATTTAATATTTTGTTTTCCGATTAAGTTTAAATGTCGTCATTCCTTTTGCTTTCATAAACTGTGGAGGAAAGATGTGTTATTTTAATGTTTCATTTTAATTTTTAAATAGGAAAATTTTCTCTAAATTTAAAAATCCTTGTATTTGTATTTGTTGTAGGATGAGCATAATATATACAGATAATAAATCATTCTTTTGTTTTTTTTTTTTTTTTTCATCTCAAAATAAAATTAAGAATTTGAAAAGTTATCATGACTAAATTTTGTTGATGATTTCACTTAAACAATATCACACATTTATGACCAGCACAACGATTGAAAATAGCTTACTTATTATAGTAAATTGATTTTCACGCATACTCAAGCGATTGCTCGGGATTATAATTTTAATTCCTGTAAACATTATTTGCGACCATAAACAACTAGTCGAAAATAATTACTACAATATATTGGTGGCAGCATTGCTGTCGTGAAGACACTTAAAGATGCAAACAATATATTAGTCACTTGATATAACAGTTGTTAAATATTCGTTGATGATAATTAATTCGTATGTTGATTGTGAAATTGTTAATAGCAATCCCAAATCAATCTCAAAAGTGATTATTTAGGGTCCTAAACGTGTATCTAAATCTCCCCCGGCTGACCCTAAAGTTTCGGAATTTTTCACGAATCCTGTTTCGACTGTAGCCCCTGTTACTTCTCGTGAATTTGGTATTTCTGTGAATGGTTCTGATGATTCTTTAGCTAAAGATGGTCTTGATTGTGAAATTCCTATTATTAGCAATGTGGTTGTTGCTGAGGACGTATCTCTGCCTGTGGTTGATTGTCGGTTTGTTCCGAATGATCAGGTTGTGGTTTCTTTTAAAGGTGTTGGTATAAATGAGGATGAGGTGGTTGCTGGGCTTGAAGGTGATACTGAGTTGGTAAGGGATGGTGGATTGGAACAAGAAGTTATTTGTGCTTTATCTCCTTATGCTCCTCCTTTTTTTCCTCCTTTGCTATTGTCTAATTGCGATGAGGTGGTGCCGGCTGTTACTGTGGCTGGCTCGGTTGGGGTTTCGCCTATTGATAATTCGCCGGATCTTAATTTACCTGTTGAACCTAAATGTACTAAGGTAGCTAATTCGTTTGTTGATGTTCCTGTTAACGTGGTTGATTCACGTTTTGTTGGGAATTTTTTGGGTGACTGTTCGGGTATGGATGTTCGGAATAATTTGAATTGGCTTGACTCGTCAGAGGGGGAACTAGTTTCTGATTCTGATGATGCTTTTATGTCGTCGTCTGATTTTTGTGATGGCTCCGATCCTGGCTGTGACTTTACTCTTGTTAATGTAAGATCGGTTTCTGTGGTTGGTATTCGGGGCAGAGCTCGTGGGCGAGGCAGGGGTCGCCGCGCCGTTAGCTTATTTCTTTTATTTATCTGTGCTTTTTTCTTTTCTGTGGTGGGTTTATATTCTGATGGTTTTTCGTCGAATTTGGGCAATGATGGTTTGGGGCACGCATCATTGCACCGAGCTTGTGGCAACCATAGCTGAGGGTTCGAGTTGATTCGGGGTGCTTTTGGACGGTCCTGGTGACGTGTTGCTGGTGCTTGTGCCTCAACCGCCTACTGAGCTCGCTTTTTATTGTATTTTTCCTTTTTCTTTTTTTCCTCATCTCTATTTCTTTGTACTGTTTTCTTTTTTGATTATTAATATATTGTTCTGTTAAAAAAAAATCTCAAAAGTGATTGATTAATTAATAATTAAAAAAATCAAAATATGATGCTCAACATCTAGCCTACTT